AATAATTGAATCATAGCATGTATGACTGGTCTGGTAAAGATCACCCTAGCAGTTTTTCTAAAATACATATTCCCCTATATACTTCAAGAAGGGCAGTGTTAAGACTATAGAGGACTTTGGCAATATCTGGTTTACTTTCTCAATACAATTAAATATCCTGGGCAGACTTCCAAATTTAAATACTGTAATTTGATTAATAATATATGTCATATGTTGCGGTTCGGACCAGAATATCCGTCCCAAGGGGACCTGCCCATTGGGCGTTAACGAAGCTTGCAGAGTTACCGCCCATTGGCGGGTTCCAAAGGGACGGATATTTCTATCAGAACTGCAAACATAATTATGTTAGATATTTTTTCTTGCATATTCTGCCATATTATTTCAAATTCAAAATGGTTTACCTCAATATGATATATGTTCATGGAAATTAAAGTCATTTCCTCCCTAACTATTTTCTTACAATAGAGTATGAACTTACAACTTAAATAACAACAGTGAAATGATGTCATCATAAGCACATATTTCCCTTCTAAAACAACGTCATTTTAACGCAGTTCATTCATAAAGTGCACTAAAATGACGTTGTTTGGCAAGCGACTCGTCTGGCATCCCCCATGCCAGATGAAATTTCCTGCATGGGTAAAACTCACAGAAACCCCAGTCCGATATGCAAGAAACAATTTTCCACCTCACTCGTGTTTCATTTATGTAAGTTTATTTCATGCTTTCCAGTGTTTTACTGTAATTTCTTGCATATCAGACAGGATTATCTACTGTTTACACCAGTGCTAGAAAACCCTGTCTTACAACCCCCCAATGTAAGACAAGTTGCGTGCATTGAATAATTTCATTGCCGCGTGCCTTTTATGAATGAATTGCATTCTCATGATGAGGTCACTTAAATTTAACAGAACTATATCTCAAAATTGATGATGTGATGTCATGATGAGATGACGTCATAAAGGAGAATGCGCAAAGTTACACAGTAAAATCAGTAAAAAATACTTAATATCACTAATTAGCATGAAATAAAAGAAAATTTATTTGTTTTGCATGTAAGAGTAAAATATTTTTCATTTGTGAATAGCAGCTCTTCCATTTTCACTACTCATGGCTACGCCACCCGTGAAAATATTGCATTCTGGTGTTCACTCAGTGAAAGTCATTCCAATCTTACATGCAAAACAAACAAATATCCTGTATTGCTATATTATTGATAATGACATTGTTTCCTAATAATTCTAACAAATAATAAAGCTAACTTTAATAATATTTATAACATAAACAGAAAACAAACAGGAAAGTAGTTTAAACAATCTTCAAATTTAATTCAGTATTGCAGTGTCTTCTGACTTCAATTAAAAACTATTACTTTAAACTATTTTTTTTATTGGGTTTTACGTCACATTGACACAATATAGGTCATATCTCGATGTTCCAGCTTTACTGGTGGAGGAAGACCTCAGGTGCTCTTCCGTGCATAATTTCAGACAAGAACGGGCACCTGAGTAGAACCACCGACATTCTGTAAGCTAGATGGATAGCTTCCTCACATGAAAGAACTTAAAGTCCCTGTCGGGATTCAAACCCACAGGGTGAGGGGCAAGTGGTTTGAAGTCAATGACCTTAATCACTTGGCCACGGACGTCTCTATGGTCAAATTGAAGTCAACAACCTTAACGGCTTGACCACGGACGCCCCTTACTTTAAACATAGTTACACAAATCTCAAAGATATTAACATTCTCAAAAATAAGGTGGAGTTTGCACTTGTCCTTAAAGCTGCTCACTCAGTGTTTGGTAACTGCTAACCTTTCTTTGAATTGTTTGAAACTGTTTCCTCAAATTTCAACATAGATTTTCAACACAGCATTATTTTACATATTGAGAGTTTAGTTTACATGTTTTTCCCAGAAATTTATATTAAAATGTTGAAACTAAAACTTTTGCTGAATGTGATGCATATCACTGTCTTTGACATATACTTGAATAGATAGAATAACTTATGGCAAAAAGTACATTAAAAATGGTCCTTAATAAAATTTCAAAAGAAAGACACAGTTATGAAACATTTCCCTCAAGTCTTGTTTAACCTCCTTCACATATTCAATAAGTTTCAAGTGAACATTTGATATGGTGTTGGAGATATTTAAGTAAATATTATTTTTAGGATAATTATTTTCTAAGAAACAAGAGCTACCACCAGGCGGGGACAACGGTCAACTTAATTACTGTTTTTTAAAAGCAAACATATTGTTGAAACAAATGTTAAAGGAAAAAGTTTAGTTTTCCTTTTCTTAGTTTTAATAGGTCTGTCTAATCACACTAGTTTTGTCCACAATGAATCCTTTCCATAAATAGATGACAATTTTAAGAAAATATAATCAAAGTTCAAACATTTGAAGGTAAATGTCACTTAAAGTTTCAAGGAAATATCTAAATTCAATATTCCACATGTTTGAATGGTCATAAGTGTGGTTTTGTCCACAAATGAATCAAATCTGTACAAAAATAAAATTATTATGATTTAACACAAACTACAATAATTTGACTTTGCCTGTCAAGGTCAGTTCAACCTTTTAGGCCTTGCCCAAATTATTGTTTTGTCAAAATATGAAGATAATCCATTTATTAATTAACAAATTAAGTCAATTAAAGCAAAAATCAATGAAAATTTAGTAATTTAACCTTCAAAATCAAGGTCATTAATTTTATAAGCCAAAGTCAATTTGAGTTTGATATGGATGAAGCTCTTATCCTAAAGGATGTTCTGCTGTAATATGAAGTGAATCAATTCAATAATAACAAAGTTATAGCCAGTTACAGCAAAAAATATAATAATGAAAATTTCAATAATTTGCGCTTCAAGCTCAAGGTCATATATGAGTGAAAGTCATGGTCTGTCTGGTCAAATAAAAGGGCTATCCTATAAGATTATTATGTTCCGTTTTGAAGACATTCATTCAAAATAGTTACCCACAAATTGGCTTATAGCAAGAAACAAGCAAAATTGGACATTTGCCCTTCAAGGTAAATGCCAATGGTGTTTTTTGAGAATTATAAGGCATGTTGAACTTGATGATGACCCATGACCCTATATACTTACAAAAGATAACTTGGAAGAGACTGGATAAAGTGATTCATATCAAGCCCCCAAGACTTTGTTGTGTTTGAGGTATAATTAGGAAAAGGCAAATTGAAATGATACACATAACTGTTGTCTTTAACATGTAATAACTGTACAGAAACAATGAAACAGTAACAAAAAATCACCTAAAGAGGCATTTCACAAATCAGGGCTTTCATTAAGTTTAAAAAATTTGAAGTCAGAGACTGCAAAATCTCTGATATTGGAAGTCATGTTATACAGGTAAAGAAGACAAGTATGAGGTTTTGGAAGTCACGAGCCAAAATCAAGAAGTAAATGACTCCCAAACTTCCATTAATGAAAACCCTGACAAATTAAGGAAAATTGTGTCATGTACCATTTTGATTCTTCAATTACATTTCTCTCTATTCATACTTTAATAGTTTAATTTTGTGTACTTAAATTACTAGGTCATAGATTGTTAAATCTAAGAAATCTAACCGCAGGAAAAAGAATGGCACAGATATCTTGTAACCATCTACACAGCTAACAGATCAATTCTTTAAAATATAGATAACAAAACCAAATAAATAAACAATTAACAATGCAAGCCAAAGCAAGTTGCTATGTACCTGGTGATTCATACAGCATCTCTCTTATAACATTTTTCTGAAAATCATACATAGGAAATCAGATGGTCTCTTCACAGTAGTTCAAATATTATCTTAATGAGCAGGTATTGGCAGAGGATTTTTCTCCTTAACTTAAAATGAAGTTATTCATTTTCAAACCAACAAATGCATCATTGCTACAATGCCTACAAATACTTTGTGGGAAAAAATTTCTATCTTACAAAGATAGGGTTATTTCTATGAAAACATGGAAGACAAGACAACACATAATTGATCCAAGCAATTATTTCTAAATACTTTTTATTTCTTTATTACCAGCAAAGACTGTAACATGTATGTTTTGCTCACTTTAATCTAGAGCAAATGGGTCAGGGGAACGATCTAGGGTCATTATGGCCCTCTTGTTTACAGTAACCTTGAACCCAATGACTCCAAATTCTATCCAAACCTTTCTGTACTTGTCTACTTAGAAGTAACATCCAAATTTTGCTGCAATATCTTATTCCTATTGAAAGTTATTGATTTGAATTCATTTTTCTATAATCCACATCAGGGACATTGACCCAAGTGGCCTAAAGTACAATCCTAAACTAGATTTGCCATAAGCATGCTATATTATAAATTCAGAAATCCCTGTTCCCCACCCCTTACTGTGACAGTTTTACACTGCCTCTAGCCGAACTGCCCATAAATAAAAACTTGTTCTAATATACCAAGAAAACAAATCTTACATCTGAATGCAATAACCATGATTTGAATTAAAAAAATAGTAAAACTGTTCTAATATACCAATAATGAAAACAAAACTATGAGCATGTATTGAGTATTGTAACATCTAGCATATCAAACTGTGATGCCATGCTAGGTGTAATAAAGCAAAGGAGAGATGTTGTACCGAGAATACAGCACTACTATCAAGAAATCGTCCCTATGTATTCATTGGATGACTTCAAGAGTCACTTCCGTCTCTCTCGTCACTCTTTCCAAACACTGCTAGTGCAGATGGAGAAAGCGCCAACGTTTAATCGAGCAAATGGCCCCGTCAGTGAATACTGAGAAGGATGTTCCTGTGGTATGTTGGTACGTGCAAGTAAGATGATTCGCGCAACAACTCCATTAATAACCACTAAGTAGCGATATAATATTCAAGTGTTTAAATGGTATCTTCATTAGCCATATGGAAATAGTGATATGCCCATTTCAAGGCTCCCAAAAATAGCGCTGAATTGGAGTCAGTGTGTATGATTGATACAAAGTTCTCTTCATGGTAAAGATGCCGTTATGCGTCAGAATAAATAAACATAATATTTTATAATAATAAAATGATTTATGTTACAAGTATTTTGAGACGTTTTCTCCGATTTCTAACGATTAACCTTTTTAACCTTAAAGTAGGACATAATTAAGTTCGAGCATAACAAATAAATAAAATAAATATTGTGTTCATTTGATCTGGAATGCTTTCGATCTATGGCAGACAGGTTTGGCGTTTCCAAAGGATCATTTCATGCAAGTGTGAAGAGAACATCGTCTGCTCTAGTTCAAGATATCATGGCTGAAGTTATTCAGTGGCCAAGGGGTGATGCCAAGCTGAGAGAGACAAGTGTTGGTTACAGTCAGTTATCAGAGCTTCAAGGAGTTATTGGTTCAATCGATGGTTCACATATTGCAATAAAGGCACCTTCAAAACACGCTCCAGCATATTATGACAGAAAGCAGTTTCACTCCTTGGTATTACTTGCATGCTGTGATGCAAACAACTGTTTTACCTACGCTTGGACAGGAAACCCTGGGAGCACGCATGATGCTACAGTACTCAGAACATCAGACCTATTTCAACAGGCCGAAAACTTAATACCACCTGGATTCTATCTTCTCGGTGACTCAGCCTTCCCCCTGAAGCGTTGGCTCATTACACCATTTCGAAATTTTGGTGACTTGACCCGTCAGCAAAACCACTTTAACACTACACATGCAAAGGCTCGTGTTGCTATTGAAAGAACCTTTGGGCTACTGAAATGCAGGTTTCGTAGACTTCTCAGATTCGAAGCATCAGATATTAATATATCGTTGACACTATTTTGTCAGCATGCATCTTACATAACATTTGTGTGAAAGATGGAGATGACATGTTTGATGATATGGTAGATGACAACTGTTTCGACAACAGTGGAAGGGTGGCTAGACAATGCGACGACTTGTCAGGCATACGTTTACGGCAGGAATTGATTCAACAATTACAAGCAAATTAGATGACTAGAACTTTAAGTGCAATGATCAACGTGATGATAACAACAACAAGAAACAATAATATCAAACTTAACTAGAACACTCTGTGATTTCTGGACGGACAGACTCAAGCTAATTAATAAACTATTTTATAGGGCACACACAAATGTTGTGTGCATCAGATAGAACATGCCTAACTCTTTACATACAACAATAAAATACTGGTCGAGTTGAATTGGTTATATGAACATTTGACATACGTTTGTATTTTATCCACAGAAATAAATACCACTTTGACTAGAAAGGGTTTTAATTTGGTGTTCTTATAAGATAATACCGAGGTTCAAATTGGGTCACAAATGTGGCCTCTAGAGTGTAAACATCAACAAGTTGCTCAGGTGAGCTAAAAACGCATCAACAATATCACACAAATTATAACACAAATGATAGAAATTAAGATGTTTTATAACCTATAAAACAGAATTTCAAAACTGCATGTCTCTGCAGAAAAATTAACTTAAAAATGTTACTGTAGGCTGAAACAACATATCTCTGCCAAGGCCTTTAATGATAAATCATCATTTCTAAAAAACACGTGCCTCATTTACATTTTAAAAATGGCATCAACTTCAACTTGTGCTTAAGAGCACAATTTTAATAGTACAGCGTGTATTCAGTTAGTTATAGTTTCTCAATAAGCTTCTCCATTAATTTATTTTGTTTTTTTCGTTCATAGAGCCGAGAGCTTGTATAAATCTTTCATCGCGCTCTTGCAATGTATTCCTTCAGTTCCTTCTAGCTGGCTCTTCTTCTTCTTCTTTGGCTGAACAGATCCATTATCATCACTTTCATCTGCATCTTCTGGTTGGCTCTTCTTCTTTTTCTTTTGCTGAACTGAACCATTAAATCATCACTTTCATCTGCATCTGATTCCATTGGTGAGACAAGGGTGCCTTTTTGCTGCAACGGGAATGAATGTGGGATCGTCCTGCACTATGTCGGCCATTAGTTCTGTATAGATGAATGGTTTGGGCCTTTTGTTTCCAGTTTTTTTGGAGTCCTCGACAAATTTCCTGTATGCTTTCTTGAGTGTGTAGTACCTCTCCCTGCACTTATCCCCAGTGATGTGGTTCATCCCAAGTTCCTCTGCAATCGTCGACCATACACTCCTTTTGTTTTTAGCCTCCTCAAAATTTGGCACTTTTGCTTTTAATTGTCACAAGTAGTTTCTTAGTTACACCAACTCCCCACTCATATCTTGAACTTGATGGCCCACTTTGGCTGCTACAGCTGACTGGTGTTGTTTGGGTTGATGGCCCACTTTGGCTGCTACAGCTGACTGGTGTTGTTTGGGTTGATGGCCCACTTTGGCTGCTACATGCAAGTGGTGATGGGTTTGTTGATGCCCGACTTTGGCTGCTACAACTAATTGGTGTTGGATGGGTAACAGTTGTGTGTTGATTTCGCACCAAGTCCATATCAACATAGATTGGATCTGTGTCAGAAGTGTTAGGGTTAATTTTTTCATTCAAGAAGTTGGTAATGAGGACTCGATCTGCAAAAAAAAAAAAAATGGTTTGATTATGATGAAAAAGTCAACAGGTTTTCAGCAGAGTACATTTAAATCATTGTTTTTTTTTTTTTTCTCTTTTATTTTTCAATCAAAATTACAAAAATTCAAATCATAGTACATGTATGAAAACATAAAAAATAATGTCAATTTAATGTTATCAGATTATGACAAGTATATTTGTATGTTAAGATCTTTTTATAAAAGATTTTGACAGAAGAAAATGAGTGCTAAGAAGAACTGATAGTACTATAAAGTGCATAGTAAGTAAGAATGAGAGAAAAGAAAGTGTATAAAAGAAAGGAAAGATAGATGAAGAATGAGAAGAAAAAAAAAAGAGAGAGAGAAAAGATAAAGATTAGTTATGTCCCTATTAAAAGATAGTTGGAAAAAAAAATACATTCATAATGATATTTTACAAAGCTAATACTTAGTAAAAAACTATATTTAAAAAAAAAAAAAAATGAGAAAAATATAAGGAATGGACTAAACGGAGATAAGAATTGAAGATCGTTTCCTTTTCTATTTGTATATGCATAAATTATATGTCTAAATTGTGTGGTTTTGGGGGTCTGTAAAAGTTAAGTTTCATTGAAATTTGACCATTTTTCTTCAAAATTTTGTAGGTTGTCTTGTATTAATGATATTTCTTTTTCAATTCTAATCCTGTAAGAGAGAAATGGCATAAATTTTTCAAGAGTGGGTATATTTTTGCTATATTTCATTTTAAATATGAAATATTTACACAGAATTATGATAAAATTTACCGTGTTATGTTTACCTAATATACCGAAACACACCTGTCTTAATTTAAGAGGTATTTTCATAACCTTTAGAGAATAAAAATGTTTGAATTTTGTTCCAGAAAAACTTTGTGTTAACTGACATTTCCCCATATTAAATGTTCAAATAGATTTCTTATTCTCCATTGAACCCAAAAATCACACAAAAATTGCTAGATGATAATTTGCATTTAAAAAAAGATTATTTTAATTTTGGGTTGGGGACTTAAACGCATTAAAAAATTTTGTTATTGGGAAAACTTACGAAAAGATTGGTTGTCCGATTGTTAGACTTAAAAGGTTATATTAAAATATTAGGTTTTTTCCAATCTATTTTCATTGTCATTAAAATATGTTTTCCCCTTTTATGGATTGCAGTTTTTTTCAAACCAGTTATTGCCATTCATTTGAAGTTTAATACAACAGCTGATTTGGTGACTTTTTTTTTTATTTTTCTATTTAGAACATCTTTTTTTAAATTCCCCTTATAGAGGAAATGCATTGAAATATTTTTCTTTAAGGCACTTTGGGATAGCTGAAGATTAATTTGATGATATTTTAAATAATCTTGTGTATCAAGATTTAGAAGTTGTTTTGCTATTTCAAATTTTGTAAAAGGCTTTTGTGCGAAAAATCAAAGAGTTGGTCTATATAATTTTATACCTTTTTCATGCCATTTTTTTCCAGTAAATTGTATTTTGTTGTAATTTTATCTCAGTATTGTTCCATATAATATGTTTTCTAATTTCATTTCCATTTATATTAGAGGAGTTTACTATAGAAAACCATGAAATTAAGATATCTCTTAGAAATGTATTTGTTTTACAGATTCTTGAAACATCATGAGAACTAAGATTACATTCAAAAATAAATTTACCACCAAATGGTTTTAATATATTCTCAAAGAAGGCTTCCCAGTGTCCGTTGCTTTCATTTGAAATCAATCTCTTTACCCAGCAAGCTTTAATTGAAGTTAAAAATGATTTTATATCTGTTAATTTTAATCCTCCTGCATCATAGTTGTTTATAACAGTTTTACGCTTAATTTTATCTGTTTTAACCATCCCATAAGAAGTTAAAAATTGCTGTTGTTAATTCTTTAATAGTATGGTCAGGTGGGTTTTCAAGAAACTGTAAATGGATAAATTAATTTTGGTAATGCAAATGTTTAATTACTGTGACTTTGCCCATCAATGTTAGTTTACGGTGTTGCCACTGTTTTAAGCATGTTTTAAATTCTTGTAGTTTTGGTTCTAAGTTAAGCATATTCATTTTGGAGTCTGTGTAGAAAGTTATGCCAAGTGTTTTCGCATGTTTTGATGTCCAAGTGAAATTCATATTTTTCTGCATATTTTAAATTTATTGTTTTGAGGGCTCCAACCTTCAATACAACTGATTTTGATGTATTTAGTTTTAGGGCCAATATATTTTTCCCAAATTTATTTTAAAGACTTTAATGATTTTTCAAAAAAAATGTTTTTTTCCCTTTTTTATATATGTTTTCATCATCAGGCCCAAAAAATGGGGCTTTTTTTAATTTTTTTATTAATTTTTTTAAAAACCCTTTAAATTTTTTATCCTTTTCAATCCCTTTTGTTAAAAAAGTTTTAAAAACAATTTTTGATGAATAAAGGAAGAAAAAGGGGACAAACCTTGTCTTACTCCCTGTTTTAATATGAAAAATTTCTGAATGTGACCATTATTTATAATTTAAAAACTATTAATTTTTTTATAGAAAAGTTTAACCCATGAAAAAAGAGATTTTTAAAAACTGAAAAAAAGTTTAAGGGCATTGAACAATTAAAAAACATGATTTTTGGGTAAACCCAAAAGCTTTTTTTATAAATCAGAGAAAAAAAGGGAAAACCAGACTTGTTATTTTTTTTCAATATGTTCTATTATTTCAAATATTAGTCGTAATTTTCTCCTATATAGCGTCCTTTCATAAAAACCTGTTTGCTCATGACTAATTATTTTATCTAATACTTTCTTTATTCGAATAGTAATTGCTTTTGTAGCAATTTTATAGTCAATATTTAAAAGACTTATAGGTCGCCAATTTGAAAGTGAAGTTTGGTCTTTACCTTCCTTAGGTATTAAGGTTATTATACTTTGTTTTTGAATTTCTGATAGTTCACCTTTTCTGTAGGCATAATTAATACAGTTCACAAAATATGTTTTTTATTTTATTCCAAAAATATCTTATAAAATTCTGTAGTAAGTCCATCAGAGCCAGGTGATTTGTTATTTTTCATTTCAAAAAGAGCAGTTTTACATTCATTTTCACTTAAAAAACCTTCACACATTTCTCGTTCTTCATTTGATAATTTATTTGTGTTATCATCAAAAAAAGGAATATCTGTTTCTTTCTGTGGAAACTTTAGTGTACAATAATTTATAATATTTCACTTCTTCTTGTAAAATCTGTTCAATATCAAAAATTTCTTTACCATTTATAACTAGTTTCTTAATACTTTTTTTCTCAGCATGTCTCTTTTTCTAAATTAGCAAAATATTTGAGTTCTTTTCATTTCCTTCAACATGGATAGCTTTTGATCTTATTAATGAACCATTTATTTTCTTTTCATATAAATTTTCTAATTCATTTTGTTTTATGGATATTCTTTCTAGTAGATCTTTTTCGTCCTTATTATCGGTATTATAATTATTATTATTACTAATTTTATCCAATGTTTGATGTGCCCTATTTAGATCAGCTAATTCTTTAATTAAAGTGTTTTCTAATTGGTTCTCATTTTTTCTTTTATGTGTTAGAATATTTTATTGCAGTATTTCTTATTGTTCTTTGATAAGTTCCCACAGAGTATCTGGTGAT